TTTTTGGTCCAGAATAGATAGTATTAGCACATGCAACCTACCTAAATTACCAAAACAAGACATTTATGTTGCACATAAAAATTCCAAATACATACCATTTCATTATTACCTTCAGGAATATTTGAAGGCTTTCTATGAACATTCTTCTCTACCTTTTTTCAAACCTAATCTTGCTTTGCATTATGTGTTTAAAGGAGATACTGGTTTACTTTTAGGTATTTTATTTAGCTGTCCTGCAATTTATTGACCAACATCATCACCTTATCAATTCAAAACAATTAAATTTGCCAGAAAAGAACAGAGACAAAATTAGGCTCACATCATGTAACCAGGGCTGTACTTTACAGCTGAGTTTAGAGCTAAGTCTAAAGCACAATAGATAGTGCTACCCTGTTCCATTCACCTACTCAAATTTTGTCTCCTTTATGCTGTTTTGCAGAATAAGTCCTCATGTGAGACCCAGGATTTGGCAAAAGAGAAAGAAAAAAAGAGACAAAGACAATGCTGCTCAGCTGCTGATTAGCTAATAAGCCTCCTAGATCACTTGTACGAGTTGTTGTACCTACAAAAAAGCAAATGATTTAGCTTAAGATCTAGGTCAGGGATCATAAACTCAAATTTTTACAAGGGTCAGGAAAGTAATAAATGTTTGGCTAGAAGAGGGGATGCTGCCACATGAGAATACTGCCCCCAAGAAGACAGAAATTCTTTTTTTTTTTTGCCTTATCTCTTCATTTTCTAAGTTAACTAATTCAATTTAACAAGCTTTGTGTGGCAGCCAGCTTCAAGATGGTCCTGAATGGTTTCTGCCTCCTGGCGATCTCTCTCTCCCCCACTCTCCTTCTCCTCTTCACTCCTCTGTCCTTCATCTCACTCGCTCATCACTCACTCTGAAGGAAGCCATAACTGTGAGCAGCCCTGTGGGGAGGCTCACATGCGGAGCAACTGAAGCCTCCCACAAACAGGCAAACAAACGAGTGAGCATGAAAGGCAATCTTCCAGATCAATCTTCCAGATTGCAACCCCAGCTGACCACTGACTACAGCCTCATGAGAAACTGTGAGCCAAAACCACCCTGCTGAGCTACTCTGATGACTGACCCAGAGAAAATGTGAGAAAATGTTTTTTGTTTTAAATTGCTAAATTTGGGGGATATTTTGTTATATATTTATACATAAATAATACAGATTTTGGTACATGTTAGTGGGAGGCTGCTGTAATAAACACCTAACACGTAGATGTGGCTTTAGATCAGTGGGCTTTGGGGATAGTATTAATGAAAGCCTATAGTAACCTGAAGAAGAAGCTGTTAATAGAAGACTCATAGTCTTTGATAAAGCTGCAGTGCGAGCACTTGTAGGAAGTGAGGTAAATGGTATTAGAAACCAGAAGACAATATACTTATTATGTAGTGGCAGAAAGTTTTACAACACTGTTGTCTGCAATAATGTGGAAAGCAGAAAATATGCCTAACAAATTGGGTGATTTATCCAGGGAAATTTCCGAGCTAAGTGTGAAAGGTGCCCACTGGTTTCTTCTTGCTAATTAACAGTGAAATTTAAAAAGAGAGAGAAACTAAAGGAAGAACTGTTAAACAAAAAGATATAAGGCCTTGATTGTTTTGAAAAGACTCAGGCTATACAGACACCTGAAAATGATCATCCACACACCTTGAGCACTTTTCTTAAAATGTTAAATATTTTTGATGAAAATATTTTTTAAATGCATCCCTGGCTTCTTAGAGGTTGTTGAGCATGGTCTTGTCATGGATGTCATCTATTCCACTGTCCTGTAACATGAACATGGCCTTGGAGGTTGTAGGGAAGTGAGCGGCAGCTTGCTGCCACACTATGTGGTCCCTGGTGCTTTTTTGTTTTTGCGTCTGCTTTTACACTTTTTTCCATATTTTCCCTCACTGTTGGGCTTTCCTGTGTGAATTTTCCCTCCTCTTTTTGAGCCTCCCTTCTAGCGCTTTCACTTTATTGCTTCTAATATGCTCTGAAGTTGGAGTCCAGACATAAATGATTTATCTACTTATATTCCGTCTTGGCACAAAAAAAGAATTAAGGGGACTGTTACAATTTCTTAAGTACCTACTGTGTGCTGGGCATTTTGCAAGCTATTTTGCAACCATTGTTTTATTTTTCTTAACAGCACAGTGAGTTGGGAATTTTTATCTCCATTGTATAGATTGTGTAGGCTGAGGCTCAGAGAGTTTGAGCCTCAAAACTCAAACTCTCTGAGCCTGCTAGCGAGTGGGAGGGCTGGACTTCAGAGACACTGGGAGCATCCATGCTTTTTCCTTCCCCTATCGCAATTCCTGTATTGTGATAAATCATGAGCTGTTCTCTATTGCTTGTTATTGTGTTGGGCTAGTTTTATCTTCCTAAGTGGAATGCAAGCCCCTTGACGGCTGTTACCTGACTGCCGACATATGTACTGCCTACACCACAGGGCACAGTGCCCTGACTCCAAGTGATCAACAGTTGTTTTGCAAAGAGTGAGAGTCTGGGAGAATGGGGGCAAGAGAATGGGGTTTACCGTTGTCTGCTCCCAACTCAATGTCTCCTACCTTCCTGATTCCTAAAACACGTAACTTGTTCCCAGGCATTTTCTGAGCAGAATGCTTTATCTGCATAAACCCCAAACCTTTCCCTTTGCTTAAACCAGCAATTGCTGAAACCCCCATGCGGGCCACTCTGGGCTGGGACTGAGTGTTGGGCTCGGGTTGCATGCCTCTCCCTGGGACCCTATAGGGACATAGCAGCTGGTAGGGAAAGCCTGGGGTTTGGGACCAGGATTTTGCTAATGAAGTCTTGGAGCTGGTTCCTTTAAGAAAACCCTCTCACAGGGGCTTCTTTCCTGGAAGGACAGTGACTGAAATTGCTATGGAGCTGCCTTCCCAGCTAAAGCAAAAAGCAGGCTGGTGTCCCAGCAGGGACTGACTCAGCTGAGCAACGCTTGCTCTGAATCTTTGCTCTGTGACTAAAACTTTGAGGAGGAAAATTATTCCATGACATGACTTATGGACTTCATGGTAACAGGACAGTTTCTGTTTGTGTTTTAGTTCTCCGTCAGAAACGCTGAGCTCAGTGGGAAAAGCCCCCCACCATGTGACCAGGGCACACAGGCAGGTCAGGTCACGTGACCACAGTTGCCTGTGGGCCAAGCATTTCTCCAGGTGACATCATGCTCTTGCAGTGTGCCCAGGTGTTTCATGGCCTCCTAGGTCCCACATGGAACTTGCAGCATTTCTGATGCTTGGCTTAAATTTGTTTGTCTGGTTAATAGTAAACCTGAATTGGGGTCAGGGAACGTGTCAAGACAACCAGACAGCAAACATGTCCTACAGAGAGCTTGGCCTGGGTCTTCTGGGCTGAGACCGTGAGGCAGACAGATTGATGGTGTCCACCCTTTTTGTATCAGTCCCAGGACATACTTCAGATTTGGAACCTCTCTGCATCAGCCTCAAAGGCTCAGGGCCAGGTGCTGCTGAGTCTTATGCTTTTGCATGTTTCTTTCCCCAATCCCCTCCTCCTTAGAGGGATCCAGCGCCAGGGGACCCTGGATTCCCCTCCTTTCTTCTGCTCCTGTCCATTTATTTGCCTGCAGTCAGAGCTCAGCTTTCCAGCCACACACTCATTTTTGGGCAAATCATTTCACAGATCTGTGGAGGGCCAGATCTCTACAGAGATCCCCCTCGTCCATTACCTTATAGAAGAGGAGACTAAGGCTGGTGGATAACTTCCCCAAGTACCCAGAACTATTTACCCCACTCTCCTCACCCATCAGCTTACACTAGATGCTCTGGGGTGCTCAGAGTTTCTCTCACAGGAACTTGAACCTGGAAGCCAGGGGCAGGTTACAACTCACCATCTCAAAGTTGACAGGGCAAGCAGGCTCTGCTGGCAGCCAGAGGGAGCAGGACGAGGCTGTAGAGAGGGGGTTGGAGGAGGGGAGCAGGGGCAGGTAGACGGGGAGGTGAAGAAAGTGTCCCAACGATGCCTCTGCTTCTTGACCAGGGTTCCTTTGAAGGTTCTCTTGCTACCCTGCACTGGTCCTGTACCCTCTCAACCAGTGTCCCCTTAGGCTTATGTCAAATCACGTTTCCACTGGTTTCAACCTATGAGTCCGAACTTATCCACTCAATAAGTTGCAAACCTCCCCACTTCCCCAGCACAGGCACCAGCCCAAGTGGAGCTGGGAAGAAACAGGTTTCAGCATCAGCTCTAGCCTGTTTGCTGTGGACTTGGGACAGGGCTCTAGAACTCTCTTCCTCAGTCTACTCATTGAATGTGAATTTGGGTAGGAGTCAAGCCTCCTTCTTCTGAATTTTCCCACTATATGAATATTTCCAACATTGGCCACTCAATATCTGAACATCATTTCCTGCTTAAGACCCTTCAGCAACCCCCGTTGCTCTCAGGACTGATGTAACATGAGTCTCCCCTTGCCCCTCTCTGGCCTCATCTCCCCATCACTTTCCACTGGCTCTCAGCTGTACTGACCTGCTGGCAGCTCCCCAAGTCCCCATTTTCTCCCTGGCTGCTCCCTGCAAGAAATTGTATTTCCCCAGCCTCCACCCAACTACTAGCCATTCTTCAGGCCTCCCCTCGGATGTCACTTCCCTGGCATGCCCTCTCACGTGCCTTGCACCCTATAGGACATCTCCCTATTATCACAGCACTTTGCAATGACCTATTTCTATGTCCCCTTCCTCTGCTGCACCATGAATTCCCTGAGGTCAGGCACCATGTGTCATCCCTCTCTTCCCTGGAGCTGACATGGTGAGTGTTCAGAGAATGGCTAAATAAATGCTGAGGCCTGAGGAACGAAGGCTCTGGAAGGCTCGAGCAATCACCAACTCCAGAGGCCAGCACTATTGTCCAGGGTGACCTCTGGGAAATCCAGTTTTCCAAAGGGAGGAAAAGGAGAGGAAGGGAGCCCCCAGATGGGTAAGATAGAAGTTGTTGGCACGTGTGATCAGAGAGGGAGCTCTTATGGAGAAGGTGCGGATCAAAGGAATGGTGAGGTCAGCAGGAAAGAGGTGACAAAAGCACGGGATCAGAGGGGATGTGAGGGGTGCACGAGGAAAACGGGCCCTGGGTACAGGATGGGGCTGACCAGATCCCAAAGCAGGACAGGGTTTTGTTCTCCAAGGATCCCCAGGGCTAGCTTAGGGTGAGATACACAGGGGAGATCAGTATTTACTTCTTGACTGAATCAATGGATGGTTCTAATTCACCACCCACAGGAAGCCCCCAAGCGATGGGCTAATTAATGTCTCTCTGGTTGGGAATGGGCTCAGGTCCCTCTCCTCCAGGATCTCCCTGGGCTTCTCCCAAATTCAGGAAGGTGGTGCTATGATGTTCCAGGTGAAGATAGAAATGAATGGGGTTACCGCTGGACCCTGAATCGAAGAAGAGGCAAGAGGAGAGGGTGGCTAGGTGATGAACCTGAGGTTATTCCCGGTTCTGGGGAAAAGGACATATTTCTCAAACAGAATCTGTTTCCTGCTCTAAATAATTATGGTTAGTACCAATAGTTATCAATTTAAATAGGCTCTCATTTCAAAATCTAAGTGCATTTTTAAAGTAGGTTAAATTTTAATTTACTAATATTGCCAATATAATTTTATCTAATAGTTTTTTTTATTTTCTTTGCTCATTCTCGTGTCTGTCTGTGTGTGTGTGTGTGTGTGTAGGGGTTTCATGCAAAAGTCTAGGGCTTTGTTTTTTCTGGGTCCCTCAGCATTAGGGCTGCCCTAATTTGCCACTTTTTGTTGGCAGTAAAAGGCAGTGTATCTGAGGTGGGTAGTATTTCTTGGCTCCAATTAAACATGCACTTTTTGGATTTTATAGGTAGCCTCTGAAGACCATGAAAGGAAAAAGAGGCGACGGGAAAGGAGTAAGATTGCAGCTGCCATGTGCCGGAACAAGGAGAAGCTTGAGTGCCTGCAGAAAGCGAGTTCAACCTGCCCCTGCCTCCTGCTTGTGCCTGTCCCCATCAGCCTCACTAGCAGAAGGGGAGTTAAAAAGCCCCCTGCCTGGTCATGTTTTCCCAAGAAGAGCCAGTTGCAGGATGAAAAGGTAGGAAAGCTGTTAGCACAATGGACAAGATTTTGGATGTACGAAAAGCAGGTGTGTAGATTAAAAACCATGGGATCAGCGGGTGCCCAGGCTCCCTGCAGCCTCGGGCAGTCCATACATGTCTAGCAGCTTCCAGGCTGCAGGACACACCAGCCCAGTTAAACAGGCTTCACTTGCCCTTTTTCCCGAGCAGAAGAAGCTGCCAGCTCTCATTCAGCTCACTGTGAAAAGCCTTTAATCTCTTCAAACAAGTTATTTCCTAATTTGCAAGCTGTGGTTACGCTTTCCTCGCATTCCTGCTTGATTCTTAACTGCAGCCCCTCTCCCTGGCCAGTGTTTGTGCTGCTGGCTGCCTGCAGGCAGCCCCCCTTGAGAAACACCAGGGGGAACAGCATTGGTGGGCAAGCGGGGTAGAACACAGTGCCAGCAGCCTTTCCAATGGCTGTGTCCATTCCCCCAGGTGTAGACAGCCCAGGGTGGAGTCTTCACCCACACTGGTGGGTGAAGGTCCCCAAGAGTTCTGTCGATTGCTTCAGGAGGTCAGTGAAAATTAGGAAATTTTGTGTGCTGCCATGTGTATTAGTCCGTTTCTGTTGCTTATAACAAAATACCTGGAACTGGGTGATTTACAAAAAAAATGAAATTTATTGCTTACAGTTTTGGAGGCTGGGAAGTCCAAAGTCTAGGGAACACATCTGGTGAGGTGACTCTACAGCAGTGGAGGGTGTCGCGTGGTAAGAATGGAGGAACAAAGACTAACTTCCTCATGTGCTATGCTTCTAAAGCCCTCAGAACCACACAATGACCACCATTATTAATCAATTTACTTCTGCAGGATCCTACAATCTAATCACCCCTTCAAGGCCTCACCTTTCCCTGACCATAATAGGATTTCTCATCCTCAACAGCTACAGTGGAAATTAAGCTTCCAATACATGAACCTTGGGGGACAAAATTCAATCAATCCTCAGCATCATGTACATGTTTTTCTGGGGATATGAGCTTCTCAGTGAGATCAATGACACACAAAACACTAAGCACCATGAGTCTGGACTTCTCCCCAGCCCCCAAGTCCCTTTCAGGTCCAGAGAGGACCTGCACAGAGGCTGTTGAGCTCTTGCAAAGGAGACTTCTGGACTGTTCTACTGCAGCGTCAGTACTAGCAGAGTCACAGCCTACCTCCGAGGCACTTCTAGGGCTTCTCTGAAGAAGCCCCCAAGTTCAAAGGCTTCTCCGGGGTCTGCTTTCTCCCAAACCTAGTGCGGCCATTCCCATTCTTGTGGTGCACTCTAACAGGGAGCTTACATATTCCCTCTGCAGGTCTCTCCCAGCTTGATGAGCCCCAGGGTGTCCCAGGTGCTCCCCTGCCATCCAGGCAGTGCCCCCAGACCACCCTCTCCCTACTGGCCCTTGGTTCCATTCCAAACGCCTCTGTTGCTTATCCCCAGGAATCAGAGAAGCTGGAGAGTGTGAATGCCAAACTGAAGAGCTCAAGAATGAGAAGGATCATTTGATATACATGCTGAACCTTCACCAGCCCATGTGTATCGTCCAGGCTCAGAACAGGCAGACTCCAGAAGATGAAAGAAACTTCTTTATCCAACAGATAAAAGAAGAGACATTGCAGAGCTAAGCAGTTTGGTTTGGGGGCAACTGGGGAGTCCTTATCGAATCTTCCTTTTACACCCCAAACCCTGAAGCCATTGGAGAGTTGACTTCCTGTGCACCTCTAGAATCCTAGAAGGAGAGAACCATCAAGGTGAGAGGGCCTATAGTGACTCAGCTGGGCCTTTCCACTCTTCCCTGGGTGGACTTTGGCCTATGGCAAGCGCATCTTTTGCCTAAACTCCAGGATTCAGGCCTTAACATCCTGGCCATTCTCAGATGTTCCAGATGGCTCCTGGTTAGGTGCTGCCCAGCTTTCAGCTGGATTCTACAAAAACCAGGATGCCCACCATTAGGATTCATGCAGAAGTGTGTATACTTGGGTGGATGGGGTACGCCCACGTCCACTGTGGGTGCCACTGTCACTTGTAGGAGTTGTGGAGTGAGGATGGCATTTAGCCAAGTTGTGCAGTGGCTAGGGTTGTGCTTTCTAGCAAATATGCTGTTCTGTCTGGGAATTACTATGTGCAAGGCATTCATTTCAAAACTAGGCACTGTGCTCTTTTGATGTCTGTTTTGCACAGCGCTGGTTTGACATTTATATGATTTTCCTCAGATCTGGTTTCTGGGAGTTTGGGGGCTGTCACCATGTGCAGTGTCTCACAGAATGTTCAGGTGGCCAGAAAAGCAGGTCAGCCCCTGGAGAAAATAATTCTGCTGGCATTAATGCAAAACCCATGGGCACGACAGCAGGTCCTCTGTTGCAAACTCAGTTGCAATGTCACAGGAAGAAAGCAGAAAGTAAGTCCAACTTCCAAAGGGTTAGGAATCTCCACTCTGACTTAGGTCAGGAGTCATTTCTAGGCTGGAAGAGCCAAAGAATATTCCATTTGCCTTTCCTCGTGGTTGAAAACTACAGTTAGTGGAGACAAGTTTGAAGTCAGGCGATGCCTGGGCTTTAGCATTATTGGATGTCAATGACATTGTTTTTGTCATGTAGCTGTTTTAACAAATCTGGCTCAGAGCATTTGTAGCTGTGAGAAGTCACTCACACTGGCCACAAGGACTCACTACTGTGTTAAATTCTGATGTTTCTATGAAATCCTCAGAGTGTTGAATCCTATTCAATAGTATCATTACAATTTTCTATAAGAGAAACTATCACTTATTTATCCGAGTATTCCTGTCAATATAATAAATACTGGAACCAAGACATGGTAAACATAAGTGTTGTGCTGGTTTCTGTTCTTTCAAATCTGTTGGTTGTTGAGATCTAGTCATTCCCCACCCCTCCCCTCTCCATTATAGGAGGCGTTTAGCTTGAAATATTCCCCTGTGCTCTTTGGGGCACCACTGGATGGGATGGTTGATTTTCAATCTTATGCCTCAGTCTTTGGCACTGATGCTCAGTTTCTCACTGACAAACCTGAACACAGCACGAAGCACATACTTTAGATCAACTGTGGGGTGTTAAGATAGATTTTTGATGTCAAATCTGAATTACTAAATACCTCAACTATCATATCGTCTCTAAATGTTCAATTGCCTGAAACTTCACCTCTTGTTCAACCTGAGCCTTGGACACCTTATGTTCTGCCACAGAACTCCTCTTAAAGAACTGTTCACTCAAATCACATCTAAGATCCAGATGTGCCTCAGAGTGGCAAATAAGTATTTCAAATATTGGAAAGGAATGGAAAGGGGGATAGGGAGGAAGAAAGAATAATGTTAGACAGGATGGGTGTGATAATTCAAAGAAAGGTGTTCCACCGAATTTTCTGGTTTCTCCAGGGCATATGATACCTTAGGCCTGGAAAAGAACCAGGCCTTCTCTTTGCCTGTGCACATATATATATATATATATAATACTCACAGGCTATAAATAAAAAAATTGGCATCTCTGCTACCAACACCTTTGTTCAGAGAAGCACTGGCTTCATTAAATGTTAGATTCGGCCACATGAATGGTGTGCCTACTTTTTTGAACTAGCACTTGTGACACAGGTACTTTAATTTCGCTGCTTTAATTGCACATCAGGAGTTGTTCCTAATCTGTAGAGTTATCAGGAGTTAGTACCATTCACCAGCATAGGAGATCATCTACATTCCTTACGTTGGTGGAGGGAGAAACATACTTAGCATTTACTATGTGGTTATGGGTAGAGGTACCACCCGCCAGCCCTTAGGAAACTCAAGACAATTAGTTAGCTGCCATGGACAACAATGGATTAGAGAGTTAGGAATGGGGGTGCCTGTGGCAAGAGAAACTGATCTGAGAAATGCACTGTGTATGACTAGTGTAACTAAGTTTTTTCAACAAATGCTTAAGAAATAGTTTTGTTTTCTGTAGCCAACTCTAATATGAAAAGTATGAATACAATATGTACTGTCAAGTCACTTAGTTTATCCTGTCTCATATTCCAAGCAGAGGGAAGATTGGGGGTCTGAGAGAATAAATTTACATGAAGCCACTACCAGAATCAAACACCTGGTTTGACAATGTCTTTGCATGGAGCTGCCTCCTGCTGGGGATAGTGACATCACAATGGCAGGGCATGGAGAGCTACTCCTCCCCTCTCTTGCCTTCCTCCTGCCCCCCTGGACTTTCCCTGAGATCTGGCCTGATACCAGTTTCAGAGGAAAGAGCTTTAAAGGGTTCTGGCCCAGGACAAGGTATTCTGGAATTGAACCCATTCTCTTCCTGTCAAAAGCTAAAATGCTATTTTCCATCTTCATCCTCCTTTCCCCTCATGAGCTTTGAATAAACCCTTGACACCCTTGGGTATGGGTCTCTCCCCAGTCCCATACCCTCTGGTTGGGATCCAGTACTGTTTCTCTGCAGAGAGAGTGGTATCTTCAGTCAGGATCTGCCTGAAAGGAGGCATGATTCCATGTTGAGCATCCATCTGTTCTCACAGTGGCTCAACCCCAGAAGCTTTTCCATGTATCCTTCGAAATTGCTCCCAGGAAGGAATTCACACAAGTTCAAAGGACCACTGAGGTCCAATGCTAATAACAGCTAACATTTACTGAGTAGGGCAATATGCTAAATAAACACTTTTACATGCGTGATCCCATTTAATCCTCATGACAGCTGTTATCCCAATTCTACAGATGAGGAAGTGGAGAGTTCAGTAACTTGTCCAGGTCATACAGTAGATCTTTCAAAAGCTGAAGCCCATGTTTTTAACCACAATGGTTTCGAACAATAGTATATATATATTTCTTTTTCTCTGTGTGTATGTGTGTCTGAGGTAAAATATACGTATAACATAAAATTTACCATTGTAACCATTTTAAAGTGTATCCACTCAGTGACATTAAGTACATTCACAAGGCTGTGTAATCACCACTATGCAGAACTTTTTCATTACCCCAAAAGGAAATCCTGTACCCATTAAGCAGTCACTTCTCATTCACTCCTCCCTCCAGCCCCAGGAAACCACTAATCTGCTTTCTGTCTCTATGGATTTGCCTATTCCGGATATTTCATATAAATGGAATCATGTGATATATGGTCTTTTGTATTTGGCTTCTTTCATTTAGCATAATGTCTTCAAGCTTCAGCCATGTGACAGCATGTAATAGTACTTTATTCCTTTTTATAGCTAAATAATATTCCATTGTATGGGTACTCCACATTTTGGTCATCCATCCATCCATTGACAGTGTGTATTTTAACAGAGAGATAGCCTTTATCCTCAAGGGATGAATCTCTAAGGTAGGATTTCTGGCAAAACATCCAACTGGGAGAAAAGAGAGTTAGGAGTAGAGGGTCCTTCTCGGAACTTTCAAGTACCATTGGGAAATCCCTTGTTCTGTGGCTAGCTCTGTGGGAATGGCGACAAGGCAGGAGGCACAGTGGCACGTGCTCTCCATAGGTGCAAATGACTGCTCAACCACCTACGTGTGGTACCGAGGTCATTATAGGAAGGTGTTTGATCGGCTCCTGGAATTTAAGCCTACATCTCCAGTCCTGCCTTCCTCCCCCTCTGTCCTCACCCCATCCCCAGCATTTCACTGGGAAGGGGGTGGGGAGCAAAAACTGGAGGCTTTAAGAGGATGGCTGGGCTCCCAAACACAGGGTGTTTGTAAAACCATGATGCAGAAGAGGAACCGAAGTGGACCCTGGATAGTTTAATCTCTGGCTCAGCACAAAAACTTTAGAATCAGCTAGCCCTGGATTCACATAATACCTCCACTACCTGTGAGTTCTGTGAGTGTAGGTAAGTGACACGTCAATTTCTTTACCTGTAAAGTAGGGACAGAAGCAATAATACTAAACTCAATGAGTTCTTACGACAGTATGTGAAGAGTATAGTGCAGCGCCTAGGAGAAGCAATCTTTAATGTTATTACTAAAGGTTATGGTTACTATGAAGGATCATCATCATCAACATCTACTGAGATTTAATGGAAAGAAGAGCTAAGTATCAGGACTGCCAATTCTAGGTTATTTGATAAAATTAAACCATGATTTCAAATGGCTCAAATTTTCCCATCATCTTGGATTACTATAGACTGTCTAGTGCTGAACCTTTTAAATTTGGTGTGAGGAAAGCATCCACACAAAATTGTCCCATTTGAAAAAAGTTTTATCTTGGCCCCCACCTGACTGGACAGGGTGGGGCTGCCCTTCGTGAAGGTGGTGGGGTGTTTGGGGGAGAATGGTGGCCCCTCCCAGAGGTGACAGGAGAAGGATAAGAACAAAGGGGTATGTGACAGTGATAAGGTCACAGAAGGCAGCAGAGTATAAATAGGGCTGTGCGGGGCTATAGGCTCAGTGTGTGTTCACTTCTCTGTCTAGGAGTAGAGTTTGGGCACTCTCATGTTAATAAAAAATTAGAGGTGCTGGGCAGGGAGTTAGACCCAGATGAAGATTTCTCTGGAGCTCACTCTGCATCTGCACATTTTTAAAGAGATTCAGTCTGCGATCCAGTACCCTACAGGATCCCAACAGCCACCATCCCCAACCTGGCCTCTGGGAGGTAGCCTCGAGGCAAGATCTGCTGTACAGCCACCAAGTATA